AAATGCATTTCAAAAACTCATATATATATTTCAAAATTATCCCACATGCTCATCAACTTTCATCATTGTGCATAATCCACAACTTATAACCAAGAGTGTACACATAATCATCAACCATCAATCTCATTACTCACAAGTCATAGAGTTTCAGCAATCACATGCATTACAAACAACTATTTCAAATTTAGATATATATATATATATATATATATTCTTTTATTTTACTAACATAATTAATTAATTAACATACAAATGCATAAAATAGATTTTCCTCTATTACCTCAACCTTTGAGAGGTCAAATGTTACCCCTCAAGTTACAACACTTCCAAAACCTTCCAAAACTTGAATGGTGTCAAAAGAAAATTAATCTACAATTGATCATATCCCAATGTGTCAATAATATTATTAACACAATTTTCACTCATACTCTAACACCTAAGTATGTATTTTATTTTATTTTATTTTATATTATATTTATATATATATTTTTAAGAATTTAATCTTAGTCTCTTGAATTCTAAAATTTAATTTCATGTATTTAAACCTATCTATTTGGTTCAATAGTCTCCTTCACAATAATTTCATTCAAAAAATTTTCTAATATCAAAATTTATCTTTTTATTTCAAAAATTCCCACATAAAAATACCCAAAAATTGCAAACTTGATTTTAAACCTAGAATCATTATTCTATAGCCATAATAATTTATTTCTCATCTCAGATAATCATCTAAATATCAACAAATCAATTTATATTTTCAAATTTAACCAAAAATCTACCCATAGAAATTTAGGGATAAACTCAAATGCCTTAAATTCCAATTCTATCAATAAAATAATACTCTAGAATATTTATTATACTACTAACAACCTCAAAATCATATTTATTCAACATTAATTCATCCCTTTTTCAAATCCTAAATTTTCTACCACCACAAAATCAAAAACCAAAGAGAAAAGATGACTAAGAAAAATGTTTAGAACATTTATCTAGTTTTAGAATACTTAAAATCTCATATGAAGTATCCTATTATGGAGCTTCACCTTCTAAATCTGTCCGCCTCTCCGTCAGCTTCGCTCGCTCTCTCGCTCGATCTCTGCCTCAGCTCGCGTACAAGGAAGAAATGAAGAAATGAAGGAAAGAGGGTGGTTTTATAAAAAAAATACTGCCGGTCCCATATGTTTTTTTTATTGTTTCCTCTTTCCTTTCTCTTCTTTTTTTTTATATTATATATGTACACACATTACACCGAAAGCGTCCCTCCTCCCCATTTTTTTTATTTTTATTTTTTTTATATATATGTAATCATGGCAGCCAAAAGCATCTCTTCTTCTTCTTTCTTCTTCTTTTTTTTTCATACCTTTTCTTTCTTTTTTTTAATAATAATAATAATAATAATAATAATAATAATTTAATATTTTTTTAATTAATTAATTAATTTTAATTTTTTTTAATTTTAATTTAGAATTATATTTAGATTTAATAATCATCTCCTACTAATTTGCTCACTTCTAAATATTTTTTAAAATTTCTATTAACCCAAATTAACTATTAAAATTTAAATTGGATGTTACAGCTAGCATTTTATAAATTTATAAATGAATTTTTATTCTTTATATATTAGTCTTCAATCTTCCCTTTAATACAATACCTAAATCATTGCGCTTTTTATGCGTGTCAACTAATGATCTTTCTCTAAAATATTACATTACCTAAATTTAACATTCTCGATATATTACGGTATTAATAGTAAAATCATAAACATAACAAATCAGGATCAACAACATGGTAATAAAAATATTTATTTAAAGGTTACTAATAAAAGAAAAATGGAGAGATGAGAAGAAAAAAATTCCTTCATTAACTTAGAAATTCATTCGCTTCTTTTTTAATACAAAATTATAAAATATGAAAAATATTAAAACATTGAATTTGGTGATGTATTGTTTTTAATAGCAATATCTAAATTATTAAATATTAAAATACTTAATATTTTAATATATTTATTAAATTTTATTTTAATAAGATTTTAAGGTGTCCAGCGCTTCGAGAAAAAGACTTTAAGATGCTTAGCACTTTTAAAAAAAAGAGTCTAAAGATAAATTAGCACCAAACAATATGATCAAAATCTTACATATCACTGTGCATGGACCCCACTCGTATGCCACGTCAGCAGAAACAAAAAAATTAATGGTTGATTAATAGAAGGAGGTTTTTTCTCTTCTAAAAAATAGTTTAAGAGTAAAATTATTCCATTTAAGAGTATAGGGTATCTAACACTCTTGAAAAATAAATACAGGGGCAAAATTAAATCTTAACGCTAAAAATTCATACCAATTAAATCTTCCAAATTACTTATAAATACCAGAATATAATTTTTGGAGGAAGACTTATAAATTATAATACTTATTTTGAGAATTAATTGATATAAATATTCTTATAGGGTTCTTATTTGTCATTTTACAGTCTTTTTCTATAATTTTTTATTAACTAATGGCTAACTTTTTTTTTTAACAATAAGGTGCTCAATGCACTATTTTAAAATACTAAAGAGAAAAATCACACCACATATAAGTTTAAAATACCAAATATTTTTGAGTGAATGGTTGAGGGGCCAAATACTCTTAGGCTTAAACCCATAAATAAATGTTCTATCAATTTTTTTTTACAAATTACTTTTAATATTTTCATCAGTATCAAAGAAAATAGGGTTAAATGGGCAAAAATATCTAGTAACTTTTTCTCCAAGAACATTCAATATCTTTAAGTGAACAAAGGTGTAATAGTACACATAAACTTGTTTTAACGAGTGTAATAATCCTTGTTTTGGTAAATTTGACTAACGTTCATTGACGTTGACCGTTTAAAAAAAAAAAAGCAAACATAATATGCAACAATACCCTTATACCTATGAAATTTTTTCTCTAGAAGTTTCTAGTATCATAAAGTCAACAATGGTGCATGGTTATCCACTGATTTTATAAAATAGACCAACATTTTCTAATGTGATAAATTACTCCTTTCATTCAAAAATGTAAGGCATTTTTAGTCTTTCAAAATATGATCATCACCTTTTTTTAAAAGTGTCCTTATTGATAATAAATTTATATTTATTATAGAGTGTTTAATAGAGATAAATATAAAAAAATAAGGTTAGTTGAAAAGTAGGTAACTACTTTATTAAGGGATAAAATTTGATTAAAAATATCTTATATTTTTTAACAGAGGGAGTATATTCTTACAACTTTGTGCTCAATGTCAAGTTGCTTTAAAGAATTAGAAAATGTTAGAGTCAATAATTTAGGTCTTGCTTAATGAATCAGTCCAATTAAGCTTAAAAAATCTTAGGATCTGACTTGAGAGATTAGAAAATGTTATTTTCTTCAAGCTTATTCAAACGGCCTGAATAAACCTAAAAAAAAAATCCAAACAAAACCCAAACTTGAATATTCAAATTCTTTTTTTATCATTAATAAAAATAAAGTAAAATTAGATAAAAATCAAAAATGTTAATTTTTTAATATAAAAATTGAAATTGGTGAGGAAAAAAGTTAAAATAAAATAATATTTAAGAATTTCAAAATTTAGGCCAATCCAAAATATGCCAAAAACATGAGTTGTAGAGTTAGGTTTAGCTTTGTGACCTCTTTTATAAAAGTATCAGATGCCTATAAACTATTATTGACTTGAAAATACCAAAAGTCTTTGGAAAAATTTTTTTGAATATATTTTCACCTCATGTTTGCTTCTTCTTTTTTTTCTAACGATCAATGTTAATAGATGTTAGTCAAATTTAACAACATGAAAATTATTGTACTCATTATAACAAGTTTATATGTATTCTTGTACCTTTGTTCACTCAAGAATATTGGAGATTTTTGGAAAAAAATGCTAGATATTTTTATCCTTTAATTTAAGAAAATATTAAAATTTATTAATATTGTCTAAAAATTTAATAAGTTCTCAACTTTATTTATATTTTTATTTGCCAACAATTTGCCTGTATTAAGTATATGTATTTTAATAGTAGACTTTCTGTCCTCAATATTTAATAGAGGATATAAAACCAAAAAATTTGTGATAAAAAAATTGTTAACATAATTTATAAATAAAATAAACAAATTCTTTCTCCACCTTATCAACGAGAGAAGTAACATTTTTTGTGCGTGTATCAAAAACATTCCTCAACCCACATTCAAGGATCAATCACTTTTTGTTTAATGGACTATACATATAGTTAGTTTTGTTTCTTACTTTTGTATTTTTAAAAACCCTTTTTAACCTTTTTTTTTTTCTCTCTGAAAGAGAGACCCAGGCGATGGTTCATATGTTGTGATGTAATGTGAGTTAGAATCAAGTCTTCCTATCACACACACACACACACACACACACACACACACACAAACACACACACACACACACACACACACACAAGGAGGATCTCTTGACGTCTTTTTTCTTCTGAGTTATTTCACAAAAACTTGTTACGTTAAAAAAAAAAAACCAAAAAGGAGAAACAGTAACATTTGGAGTGCGTAGTACAACTAAGAATTGTATACTGTGTTTGGGAAGAATCAATTACTCACCAAGAGAAATTTGTTGATTTTCTCCCAATTGATTGAACCTTAGATGTGATGGTTTGCTTCATGGGTGAGGTTTTTGATTTAAGTCCAGGATAGCCCAGTTGTGCCAAGGCAAAAACCGAAGATATATATATATATATACATACACATGGCAAAAAATTTGACACAATAATTTCATTTTTTAACCATATGAAAATTCCCCCTCCCTTGTTTACTGTCTATTTTTTCCTTTTTATTTTTATAAAAAATATTATTCTTTTCATAATCAAAAGATTCAATCTCAGTTTCTCGCGAGGGAGTTGCCTTTTGGTGAACGGGGCTGAATAGTTCAATTTCCTTATCTTCTCATATAATTATATATATATATATATATATATATGTAAAATAACTGAGAATGTGCCCATGTCAGCTACAAAAGATGAACAACACTTGACAAAGCAGTTTATTACTCAACTGTTGCAAGAATTGCTAAATCCGCACAAGCTTTTGCACAATATAGAGACTCTCCAATTGCTCTGTTTCTCTCTGTCATTATTCATTACATCTTCCTTCGTCATGGCATTCCTCTCAAGATGTAAACCAAAAAAACAAATTATAATATTCTAACTCCGAATTCTCCACGACAAACTCTGAAAAAGGAAGGTTTGAAAGTGACAGACAGAAAGAAGAAGAAGAAACAGAGTGTGAAACCAGAAACAGAGCATCACTTTCATGCCTGAAATTAGGTTAGGCTGCTGCGACGCTGACAATATCAGCTTGGCCAACCTTTTTCCTCAAACAGATTGTGAGCTTCACAGCGTCTACTCCATCTCCAATCACCACCACTTTCTCTTTCCAATCTCCTTCTATTCCCACAAAGCTCACCCCTGCATTAATTCCCCCTTTTCATATTAGTTCTTCACTGAAATTCATTATCCACTTAATTCACTTCAACACAAGACTTTATTAAGTTCATCATATTCTCTTACCATTGGTTGATGCCGCGACTTTGAGTGCCTTGGTTCTGCATTTATCGCATTTCATGTACACCTTCATCACGATCTTTTGCTGCACGTACATGCGAATGAGTCAATTACGAGGAGAAAACAGAGCATTCTGTAATCATGTGCAAGTAAGCAATTTCTTATCTATAGCATGAATATCATATACTATACCTTCATCTTTGATGGATGACAGATAAGTTGAGATCAGAGGTTGGAGCAATCGATGATGATTGACGCAAGACGAGAGGATATCCGTTGATGGGGAGTGAAAGTTGCGACCCTTTTTCTTTATACAGGAGAAGTCAAGGTGAAGTCAAATAACATAAGATTAAAGAAAGGCTAATGACGTACTTAAAAGGCTAAAACTTAGAGATTTCTTAGCTAAATTGGAGTCAAGATTGATTTGAAGGAGTGGTCCGTGGACGTGTGGAAAAAGTTCTACAAGCGCGTGCTAAAAACGCGTTAGGTTTGAATTACAGTTAAAAAAATGTTTGCTAGCCTGTGAGTCCAATGTGAAACCACCCATTTTTCACATGGGGACATTAATTTATTATTGACTGTTGTTCTACGTCGTCTGAGTACACCAAGTCAAGTCAACTGATCTACTCTGCCCCTTCGTATAAATCACGCATCGTCAAAATTTTAGTAATTTTAAATTTGTTTTAATTATGAATTTTATTTCTTAAATTTAATTTTTATTGATTTAATTGTCTAAGTTTGCTTTTAAGGATCGGGAAAAATCTGTTGATATTGAATTGATAGTGATGTAAATTAATAAAAATGATAATTATTTAGACAAGAAAAAGAGAAGGAAAATATAATCAAGTAGGTGGGGCACATATAGCGTATGTTTGGGCTCCTTGAGTATCATCACAAAATTCAATTTTTGAAGATTTACATAAAGAGCATTGCTTAAAAGATGACAATCCTTTAAATGACATTTGAGTTTTTTAATGGATTAGTTTTACGCTACCCACCATGACATGCTTTGGAAAATCAAAAAAGGAAAAATCGTATTTAAAGACCAATAAAAAATATTATTTACAAACAAAATCAATTTAAAATAAATTATTGTTAAAATAAAAATATGAACTTACTTTTTATAAAATGGTGACTTACTATTGATCTTTGTTTACAAATCATATTCTTCATATGCCTTTAGATGCGATTCTCCAAAATTAAAAAAAAAACCCAAAGAGAGAGGGAGAAGGAAAACATAATCAAAAGTAGTAAAAAAAAAAATTAAAAAACACAACATAAGCAAGTGACTAAATTAATAAAACTTAAAATGATTTAAGAGCTAATTTATTACCATTTAAACATATATACATGTAACGTTATAATATATTTTACACATCAAGTTAATTTAAGGGCCAATTTGTATTTCAAAACTTATATAATAGTTCGCTAAAATGTAAAAGATTAAATTAATAATAATTAAATTTAAAAAAAAATCAATAATTGATATAAAATTAAAGAACTCAAAATTTTAATATCTCAATGAGTTATTGAATATAAAAAATTAATTACTTTTCATAAAAAATTAATCATTAGTTTCTTATAATAATTTTATCCTTTCATGACTTTTTATGAATAGAGTAAGATCTTAAATATAAAAAATATTTTTAAATAAGATTAATTTAATAAGAGCAAATTCGATTTTTTTAGATGATGTCAATAATTTATTATTAATTTTAATGTGGTGATTATAAGTGATTAACATATTAGAGTATAGTGGTTATTTTATTTTATTTTATTTTAAGTCAGATAAATCCAATCCGACTTCCAAATTCCTATATCATGTCTGTTAACTTGGTCTAAGTTTGTCAGGGTTGAGTTGGATTTGATTCAGGGCTAGATTCATGTTTCATTTAGATGGAGACAGAAAAAAATGAGGAATTTTTTTTTTCATGTTTAAATGCAGAAAATAAAGTGGCAGGGAAAAAAACGTTGGGAAGAAATCGAAATGTAAGATTACAATTTTTTTTCAGAGAATGTCCAATAAGAATTTCATAAAAACATTAATATTAAATTAAGAATTTTAACATTAAAACATGATAGGAGAAATCTTAATTTCACATTAACATTCTTAAAAAAAAATCTTTATTTATCATTCTCTTTTTTTTTAGGAAAATGACAATTAAAGACTTTATAAAAATATTAATTTCAATTAAGGATCATAATATTTTAAAATTCTAATTAAGGACCATGGTCCTTTATTGAAATAAAAAAAGTATAGTTTGTGAGGTATGATTTACTAACATCGCTTAGAAATTCACTAATCCAATTTAAAAAAATTGTTAACGTATATTGTGAAAACATAAAATCCCACTTGAAAATTGATTATTTAACAAAAAATGTCACTTGAAAATTCACTAACTTGACTTAAAATTTTTTTTAAAGTATATTGTGAAAATATGAAACTCCACTTAAGAATCAATTATTTAACAAAAAGTGTCACTTAAAAATTTACTAACCAAATTTTAAAAAAATTTCTAACGTAAATTGTGAAAAAATAAAACCCGACTTAAGAATCAATTGTTTAACAAAAAAACTCAATTTCAAACAAGTCATTTTTTGTTAAACAATCGATTTTTAAGGGGCTTTTATATTTTCACAATATATGTTAAAAATTTTTTTAAGTTAAGTTGGTAAATTCTTAAGTGATGCTTTTTATTAAATAATTAATTCTCAAATAAAAGTTCATATTTTCACAATATACGTTAGTAAATTTTTCAAGCTGAGTTAGTAAATCTTCAAGTGGCGTTAGTTAATTTCACTTCATAAATTACATTTGTTATCTCAATTAAAAATTATTAATTAAGATTTTAAAATATTATGATTTTTAATTGAAATTAATATTTTTAGAGAGTTTTTAATTGTTATTTTTCTTTTTTTTTCCCCGCGAATTTTCAGTTCATAGACGGAGAGATTTTGGCAGGAAAGTTGTTTTCCGGATCTGCCCTCCGCTCTCATGCATCTTCTTCTCGATTTGTACGTCTCATGCTTCTTCATTTTCATTATTTGCACTTTAGAGCCTCGTGGTCTTGACTCACGCAGCCAATTGGGGCTCGCATTTGTTTGTTTGTTTTTTTTCCCCTTTTCCAGTCGTGAAAGCAATAATAACATGAAAATACTAGCTGGTATCAAAATCACTTTTTTTAAAAGAAAAAAGAAAAGTATCAAAATCACTTTTTATAAATTATTCACTTTTTTAATTTTTTAAATAGAAAAATAATATATTATTACCAAATATTTAGATTTAAAATACAATAACATGATTTCACCAAAACATACAGGGAGAACACAATTTTTAATTTTTATAGTTTCATTGAATTTTGACTTTAGTCTCTATAGTATTTTTTGACATTTTTACTCTCTATAATTTTAAAAAGATTGAGTGACTTTTATTTTTCATGTATCTATAATTTTTATTTTTTTAGTATTTTTAGTTCTCATAGGGATTAAAAATATTAAAAAAATTATAGAGATTAAAATTAAAATTTGATAAAATTATAAGGGTCAAAGATTATATTTTTTTTCAAAAATATAGTAATATTAAAGTATATTTTTAATAAATAATTTTATTTTAAATTATTTTGATGAAGTTAATTTTAATATAACTTTTTCTTTCATTTCATTTTTATAAAATAAAATGATATATTTTGAGATAGGGTATTACTATTATTGTAATATTTTCTCCTTTTATTTTCTTTTATTCATCCAAATATAAGAAGAGATAATATTTTCTTCTCATTATTTTTTTTATTTTCTTTTCCTTCATTTTCTTTTCTCTGAACTTTTCTTTCCATCTAAGGGATATTAAGTGATATCATGTTGTACCCATCACGGTTCAGGTTTTGGATAATTTATTCTAATTATTATTTATAATTACTGTCAAATTCTTTTTTTTTTTAAGATCTTAGGGTTTTCTTACTTGCCGCTTCGTTATTTTTTATAAAGTTTCAGAAATAAAATTTATTTAAAAGGGTTTTGGCCCTTCTCAACCATTCTACCTCAATCAATATTCATTTTATTGGGTAGGACCTGTCAAAGGTTGCATCTAGTCTGCTCGAGAATTTATTATTTATTTTAAATCTAATTTTAATTTTAATTTTAATTCTATTCCAATTTTATTCTAATTCTAATTAGTATAAAATCACATAAAAAATGACTACTCGAGACTAATTTAAGTAATAAGGGCAGCCAGGATAAATTATGTGATAAGAAGTTAAAGGTTGAGCTTGAGCTTTCTCATTAAAAAGAAAAGAATATATATTCAGTAAAATAAAGCCAATTTTTATATACCAATGATCAAGGTGAAAATTGAATTTTTGGTAAAGATATTACAACCTTGGCTTCATTAGAAATTTTGGTTTTGGGCTTTTGGTATTAAAGCCACATGGTGAAAGCATAGGCCATTAAACCAAGGATTCGCATTCGGTACCGCGCGTTCATCACTCAAATAAGTGATCTAAGCCATTCATTTTAACTCAAAATTATCTCTACCGTTAACTTTAAATTAATTTTTAAATGTTTTAAATATTATATTTGCTAAAATAAAATTTATAAAAAATTTTAATATTAAATTTAAATTATCTTCAGTGCTCATTAGATAATGAATATTATGATACCCATCACCTCTATTGCAACCTAGACAGTCTATATTCAAGTTTTTATATTTATTTTATATTTATCAAAATAAAAATATATAAAACATGTCAAATTTTTAATAAATCTGTTCATCATTAATTTATCAATATAGATTTAATTTAAATATTCTAATTTAATATGCATTTTTTTAACTTTTACAAATTAACTATTGAAATATACTTTGAACAGTATAGATAGAAGACAATTTAATTTAAAATTAATTTTTTATAATTTTTTGTAAAGTGACTATCGATATGCTTTAAACAGTTAAAATTTAATATTAAATATTTTGTAATTTTTTTAAAATTTATTTCGACAAATATAATATTTAAAACATTTAAAAATCAATTTAAAATCAATAATGAAGATGATTTTGAGTTAAAATGAATGGCCTGGATCACTCATTTAATTTGATGAGCACGCGGTGCTCATTAGCGTACTGAATGTGAATCCTTAAATCAAAGTCCCTAAACATGTAAAACATGGCTTTCATCAAAACTAAGGTTCTATTAGATATAAGGGTGTTTTTGATTTTTTTAAAAAATCAAACCAATTAGTTCACTATAGTCTATGACCTTTTCAGTTTTTTCATCTAATTGGTTTAATTCAATTTGATCTAAATTTATATTAAGCTTGAACCTTTTTTGTAAGATA